AGGCCTTGGAGGTAGGCTCTGTAAACAGGATGAAATAAATCTCCTAGCAGAAAAGCCTACAGCACCTTCCTTGGGTAGTCTTTGGTCTATATCCCGCCACCCCCACCCCGTGTGTGTATATGTGTGTGTGTGTGTGTGTGTGTGTATGCGCGCGTGCGCCCGCGTCTGTGTGTATCCTTAATCTCTTCCATAGCTCTTGGCACTCAAGACTGGTGCTCTACCTTTTGAGCTTGCCCTCTGGCTTTTTGTTTGTTAATTAGAGATGAGTCTTAACTTTTTTTTTGTCAGTCATGGGGCTTGAACTCAGGGCCTGGGCACTGTCCCAGAGCTTCTTTTGCTCAGTGCTGTACCACTTTGAGCCACAGTACCACTTGAGTGGTTAATTGGAGATAAGAATCTCACAGGGACTTTTCTGCCTGGCTGGCTTTGAACCATGATCTTCAAATCTCAGCCGACTGCGTAGCTAGGATTACAGGTGTGAGCGAGCCACTAGTGCCCAGCTCATAACCTTTTTTTTTTTTTGCCAGTTCTGGGGCTTGAACTCAGGGTCTGGGCACTGTTCCTGAGCTGCTGCTGCTGCTTTTTTTTTTTTCCCCTCAAGGCTAGCACTCTACCCCTTGAGCCACAGTGCCACTTTCAGCGTTTTCTGTTTATGTGGTTCTTAGGAATGAAACCCAGGGCTTCATGCAAGCTAGGCAATCACCCTACCACTAAACCACATTCCCAGCACTCATATGCTTTATTTAGACTTTGTTTACCTAGAGCTGCAAACCTTGTTGGTACTGGGTTTGTGATTGGAGTCAGCTGGGTCTTGTTCTGCTCTGTGACTCACGTGCCCTGATAGTTTCACTTGGTGGCGACCCTGGTGTCTGCCTTCAAACTGCAATTTGATCCCATAGGGCCATTCACGCTGACCCTTGGTCTGCTAACCAGTGTTCAGTCTTGGCCCAACACTTTATCTGTTTGGTTTTGAAGCCAAGCATTGAGACCAGATCTTCTGCCTGACTTGCTTTTTAACCTCATCTGATCCTTGTCTTCCAAAATAATCAGGTGAAGTGTTTTCTTTCATTATGGTGAGTTTGGTATCAATAGGAAATCTCGATATCCACCGAGTCATTTATCAGGAACTTCACAAAGGCAAAATATTCAGTGACAAGAATAGCCCCAGGAGCCGGCTATGGGTGGGTGGCTCAGGAGCCTGTGGTCTGAAGATCATAGTTGGAAGCCAGACTAGCCAGGAAAGTCTGTTGAGACTCTTTATCTCCAATTAACCACACACACAAGCAAAGCCAGAATTGAAGCTGTGGCTCACGTGGCAGGGCACCAGCCTTTGAGTGCAATAGCTAAGGGACAGTAGCTAGGCCTGAGTTCAAGCCCCAATATTGACACCAAAAACAAATAGCATAAAACAAATAATGATCTTCTTTCTTCAGAGTTGCAGAACTTAGAACTTGCAATTAGAGGTGTATCATTTGGCTACAAGCCTCCACTTGTGAGAAAGCACCCACCAGTCTGTGGCCAGCCTTCTACATACACCGCATCTACATCAGCCTCCGAGGAAGATGGCCTGATAGGCTGCCGTTCTCTGATCACAGCTGGCTCTTTTTTCCTTTAAGTCAGAGACTGGGACTCAAACTTAGACCCTGAAACTTTTGCTTATCAGCTGGTGCTCTACCAACTGAACCACACCTCCAAACCTTAAGGGTGTCTTTCTTTCTTCCTT